GTAACTTCAGATCTGTACCCTTCTTGAGTTCTAGAGTCATAAAGCTCCGAATTTGGTCATGTATGAAGCCTCTTTGAGTATGAAACCCCCATTGTGAGCTTGGATTTGACATTAAGAGCCTTTGTAGCTATGCATGCACGTAAAGTTTGCAACTTTACGTGAAAAGCATGCCTTAGAAGCTTGGATCTGTAGTTTGGAGCCGCTAAATGGCTCAAATGATTCTGTATGGCGAAAAGGACTGAAGGGACTCGGCGAGTCGCATGGTCGACTCGGCGAGTCATATGAAGATAGGCATGAACTCGGCGAGTTGGAAGAACAACTCGGCGAGTCCGTTGGAGATTGCCATAGACTCGACGAGTTGTATGAACAACTCGGCGAGTCGGATGAGGATTCCCTAAGTTATGTATGCGCGTGTATCCGTCAAGTTGCAAGAAGGAAACTCGACGAGTGGCCTTAGGGTCTCGATCGTAAACCGAAGGAACTCGACGAGTCACTCAGGTGACTCGGCGAGTGGGTTAGTACTTCAAGGAACTCGGCGAGTAGCTGAGGGTACTCGGCGAGTCAAGGTCAACATGGACTGTTGACCTTGACTGATAACTTTGACTTTAACCAGGGTTTGATTAGTTGGCTTATGGGTATGTTTATACTATGGTAATAGGTGGTGGAGTTTGTGGCAGTGATCCGAGGGTTGAAGTTTATCTACCGAGTCGACATCTGCAAGGTGAGTTATCCTCACTATATCGATAGGGTCTAAGGCACCAAGGCCGGCCCTTTAGTTGTTATCGTTATGGTATGCTACATGTGGATATGATCTGTTAGATTGGAATCAGGATAGACAGTATGTTATGCTCTTATGATCCGTAGGGATTAATATGTTAGTGACCTGCTAGGTCAGTGCTCTAGTTATGAGAGATTGCTATGTTTGGTGATCAGTGAGATAAATATGTTTGATGTTTGTATATGCTAGTATATGTTAGTTATGCGCACATGGTTAATTGCTTGTTGCTTGGGTTGAGGCGGTCCTGCTTTGTGCTGAAGGCCAACACACCCTATGAGCGGTCCGGGGAGACTGTAGGCCCACGTGGCGGTCCAGTCATGTCGAAGGCTCGGTATAGATTCAGTTAGACTGTAGGCCCTATTGGGCGGTTCAGTCAGGCCGATGGCCCAGTATGCATGTTGATTGATTGATTATTACGGATATGGTATTATCAGTGTGGTATTGGTATTTTGGGGGTAGCTCACTAAGCCCTCGGGCTTACAGTTTTCAGTTTATTGTTTCAGGTACTTCAGGAGATCATGGCAATGCGAAGGCGTGACCGTACCGCTCCTCATCCTTATGATCTGGCTTTTGGGACACTCTGATTGAATAAATATTTGAAAACATTTTTTGTAAACAATACTATTGGGTTTTATTTATGATTGAAAAGTTTAAATTTGGAGTAAATTTTATATATATATATATATATATATATAATATATATATATATATATATATATAACAAAAATGAGGTAATGAGAGTCAAATGGAGTCAAGGTTGTGTAAATTTCTTATGAAACTTTACCTTATTTTATTGAAGAAAACCAACTATTTCTCAACTTTTGGTATCCCTCAATTCACAATGCATTTCTAAAAATATTTCGCAAGTGACAAGTCTCAAAAAAAATATAATCATTTTGGTTTTCTACGGTGGTGAAAACGTTATGTATACTTATAAAAATAGTTATTTTCGTGATTATCCGCGTTAATTGACTGCCATGTGAATTTTGCCTAATGATCATCTCTAATAAATGAAAGGTTTTTTTGCCACTTGTCTCACTCTCATTCAATTTGTCAAATGTCATTTTATGGTTATTTTGAATTAATTTTTTTTCCACATGTCATTTTATGAGTTTTTCTATTTTATTAAATTCCACATAATATTTTAATATAATAGTTGCAATAAATATAGTAATAAATGTATATCAATTTTATTAACGAACTTACCTTTTAATTTCAAAATTTCCAAAATTAAAGTTCATTAGTTTCTTTTATTTATTTAAATTATTTGTTTAAATTTAAAAGATAAAAAACATTTCCATTATAATAACTAGAAAGGTTACCCCCGTTACGCGGGGGCCAGAAGCTTTCAATGTTGTTTCCGAATCGATAAATATGACAGACGTAGAAAGTGCAAGGATGACAAGCCCGGGCTTTGCCCCAGACCGTTTTGTTCATGTTTTTATGAAAAAATGTAAAAGTTTTGACTGCAAGGACCAGAAGTGTCAAAATGGCTAAAGAATTAAAGCGGTAGGAATTAGCAAGTTTTTAGAAAAGGGATCAAAGTTGTCGAACCGTTAAAGTTTTGTGGCCAAACTTAAAATATTAAAAGGTTCCTAAATAGAAAAGGGATCAAAGTTGTCAAACCGTTAAAGTTTTGTGGCCAAACTTTAAATATTAAAAAGTTCCTAAAAAATATAAAAATATCGATTATAAGGATCAAAAGTGTCAAAATGGCTAAAAAATGAGGACCAAAGTTGTCAAACCGTTAAAGTTTTGTGGCCAAACTTTAAATATTAAAAGGTTCCTAAATAGAAAAGGGATCAAAGTTGTCAAACCGTTAAAGTTTGGCCACCAAACTTTAAATATTAAAAGGTTCGTAAAAAATGTAAAAATATCGATTACAAGGACCAAAAGTGTCAAAATTGCTAAAAAATGAGGACCAAAGTTGTCAAACCGTTAAAGTTTTGTGGCCAAACTTTAAATATTAAAAGGTTCCTAAATAGAAAAGGGATCAAAGTTGTCAAACCGTTAAAGTTTTGTGGCCAAACTTTAAATATTAAAAGGTTCCTAAAAAATATAAAAATATCGATTACAATAACCAAAAATGTCAAAATGGCTAAAAAATGAGGACCAAAGTTGCCAAAGTACAGGGACCAATTCTGCCAAAAAAACAACATAAAGTCCAGGGACTAAAATAGACACAAATTGTGGAAGTTCACTATTCATAAGAAACAATTTCCATAATATATATAATAATATATTATTTTTCTTATTTTCTTATAAATTCAAAGTTTTCAAATATTTTCTTATAAATTCAAAGTTTTGATTTTATATTTAACTTTTCTTTTTTAAATTAACTCATATAATACATGAGTCTCACAACTAATTTTTCAAATAAAATAAAATAAATTTTCTCTATTGTCTTTTCTTGAAGATTGAAGTAACTAACTAGATTATGCAAAAAATTGTATTATTTTTATATTTTTCGGGCTATTTCACAAAATAGTCTTAGTTTATCACAAAATTACAAAAATACCAGAATATTTCATAAAACGGTCCTTATGTTTCACAAAATTGCAGGAAATGGTCATGCGTTTCACAAATTTATTGAAATGGCCCATGTGTTTCATAAAATTATAGAAATGGTCATTGCCTAATAGAAAAATTACATAATTGGTCTATGTGTTTCACAAATTACAGAACTGGTCCCTATGTTTCATAAAGGTACGCAATGATCATTGCCTAAGCGAAAATTTACAGAAATAGTTCATGTGTTTCACAGAACTTGCAGAAATAGCCCTTGTTTAAGAAAAGTTTACATAAATGGTGCCGAAAATATAAGATTAATAAACTCGCCACAACGTACGGGACATCCAAATAGTTATTTTAAAACAAAAGTTTAGTAAAAAAAATGAGAAAGATTCAAGCTTGCTTTCTTCTTTGGATTTTGCATGAATAGATTAAATAACATTTATTCGATATGTACATTCAAATGAACATATAAATAATAAAAACCAAAAAATAATTACACGAAAAATTTCTAAAAGAGTAATTTGTCGTGAAAAAAAAAACAATTCGCCACAAATTCATAAAATCCAAATTTTCTTCTTCAATCACATGTTAAATTCACACAATTACTCATCTCATTCGATGAAAAACCTTACCATTTGCATCTTCATTCACAATCCTCATAACTTCACTAGGAGGAAAATCCCAAATCTGAGGCCTTCTCAACCGATGTCCAATTTGCGCAAATTTATCAGCAAGTCTATTCCCTTCTCTATAAACATGTGTAACAAGACAGTTTCTAAATTCTGGTAAAATTAAATTAATACCACTAACATGTTTTTGTACTTCAACACATTTTACTTGTCGTTTTTGGGCTATAACTTCGACCAACGACTTGCAATCTCCTTCAAGCCATAGATCAGTGTAACCTTTTTCAAGAACCAACTCAAGGCCTCGTTGTAATGCTGCAAATTCTGCAACAGTGCTATTAGTTTTCCCAATGGATTCAGCATACCCTAATAAAAACTCAGCATTGTGATCTCTTAAAACTCCCCCTATGCTTGCTTTACCCGTTTTGCATTTGCATGATCCATCATAGTTTAGTTTTGTCCATCCAATATCTGGTTTTTCCCATGAGATGCGAAGTGGTTCCTTATGACAGTTTCTAATAAAAACTTGGACCGGGATTGGTGCTAATTTGTGAGATTTATATATCCTAAATATTGACAACATGGTTTATGTATATTCTTTTTATATATATTTACACATAAAATCATACAACTTACAAACCCTAATGTACAAACGCTAAACAATTGGAAGAAGAATCTATGAAAGATTTCGACATGAAATGGTGTTTATATATGATCTTGATGAGCATAACGAATCCTTAGGGAACTTCGTAATGGGGTTTAGAAAACTTGGGAGAATTAGACAAGAAAAGAAGATTCTTCATTCGTATGACATATTGTCTTTAAACATAAGAAATGAAAAGTGGGTTGATGATCAATGGTTTTTATCCGGATATTATGGAGAAAATATAGGGAAGATTTTGCATGGAGAAACGAGGCGCTAACTTTTGTCAGAAATTGTTGACCTTAAAGTCTTTAACCGTCATAATTAACTGTCTTCATTCATTTGAAATATTAAAATATAGAGAACCAACATATATATACATACACATACATATATCTATAATATGTACTTATATGTATGTAAGACCCATTATGTTGAACTAAAGGACATCTATGTAGGAAGATTTTGCAAAGTACTCAACGATCTCTTTAGCACTTTGGTCTAAAACGCTTCCATTCCCAATAAGCCATAACCAGTCAAGACCCGCACCCAAAAATATGCCACCGAGCAAAAACAACACAAGCAAATTTCCCAACGCGTTTTGCTCCGGACCCTACAATATCCCACAAATTACCATGATGAATCTTTAAATTTCAAGGTTGTATTTGTTACACGAGAAGGGCATTCACGTCTTTTGCACAAACAACAGATCAAAAGTGAGTCAGTGTCCCACCTTGTTGGGATAAAAAATTACAACTCTTTCCCATCGAAATCAGTCACATCCCAATGCACGTCAAATACAGTACAAGACTTCATGCACCGTGTCTGTGTTTGTCCTCTCATGTCATGTGTAACAAACATAGGGCCTAAAAGATGTGATGTGAATTTACCTTATAGCCCTTGGGAGCAGCCATGAGAACACATACACCAAGGTAACCATTACTTAACCCCAAAAACGAGACTAGCATAATCATCCATCCTTGATCTCCATATTTTGCAGTGAAATAAAATGCAGGAACAAGCAAGAAGCGCAAAAAGACTAAGATCATAAGCCCTTTTCGTGATTCCAACTTGAGGCAATTTATTAATGGAATATATCGTGATACCAAGTCCCCAAAATTAAATGTTGCTACTAAAACAAGCGGATACCTATAAAAAAAAGAAAAGTATCACACAAGCTAAAAAAATATAATATCTATTTAATAAATGTATAAAGCGATCCTAGAAAAATAGATTACTAGATTATTCTAGGGTTTGCATTCAGACCGATGCAAACCTTAGAATAATCTTACTATTTGCTCAGGATCGCACTGTCATGTGATGTAATGACTGAAAAATTGTAATTATGGGCATTTTAGTAATTTTACCATGAACCCAACTGGTGTTTTCCGGTATTTTCGTATAAGAACCCCGGAAATATCGATAATGTCAAGGCAAATATTAAGAACAAGTCTAACGCGTAATCAAAGTTTTGAAACAACAGTTCTTTGTTGCTCAATCTGTCTAGATGCCCAAGATCACCATCAACCTGAGATTAAAAATTAAAAATAAAAAAATTTAAAATCTTCATTACCTATATTGGTAAATAGAGTAAAGTACATTGTTATTCCTTGCCTTTTGCACAGCTAGAAACCGATATGTTTTTTTTGGAAAAAGAAAGAGAATTAAGAATTAAGAATTAAGAATTAAGAACCAGTTTTTGGGTGAGGGTGAGATCTGTTTGAATTCCAGCAGCATTAAGATCTGATGAAACTGTTTGTGAACCTTCAAGAGCTGCTTTTGTACGATAGTGTTTCACAATTGGTAACGTAGTGAAAATGAAGGCATACAGAAAGATGCATAAAAACTCAAACAGTGTGGAGATCGAGAGGAATAACACTGCAACAAATCATAATAATAATAATAATAATAATAATAATTTTCAGAAATTAATGTTTGTGAAATCGGATTTGAATAGATTTATGAAAGAAGGAAGGAAGGAAGTTTTTACATGCTCCTTTGTGAAGGCCATTTTCGTAATTATTGAAAATAGCTTCTGTTAGTAATCGTAAACCAGATGTTATAACCCCTGATGCAGCCATTCCGGCTAGGAAAGACTAAAAAAGAAAAAGATATTTTATTAAGAAAAGGCGTCGAAAATGTTTTATATGATAATGTTTTTTGGGGAATTTAAGGAAAGTAAGAGGTGATGAGTTACTTGAATGAATTCAGGGCACATGAGAGCCAAATCGCCAATCATCCCGCCTTGAATTAGGGCATCTGCTATCCCAAAAGCAGCAACAAAAAGACATATACCTATGTAAGATCCAATGCTACCCTTCCCATATGTAGCTAAATCCAACTGTAGCATATACAAAGAAACTCGTTACATATAATATTTATGATCGCTAAACCCTAGAGTTGGCTAAAACTCCCACACTGGCCCACAATGTCTTACCTAGAGCTTACAGTGAAATATAAATCAGGTACACAACGGTTTGCTAGGTTGTTGGTATAAGACTATAAGGTGGCGTTTGGTTTACAGAATGTTTATGAAATAATTGGAATTTATCAGGGAAATGGAGTTTGTCAGGAATTGGAATCCAATTCCATATTTAGTTTCGTTGGTAGGAAATGGAATTGGAATCCAATTCCGTATTCTGTTTCGTTAGCAGACATGTCTATTGAATTTGATTTCAATAATGTAAAATGACATAATTGTCCTTCTTGTTTTTTTTTTTTTTTTTTTTGCTTTATTTTACTTTGCTTTATAACTTATATATAAAGATATTAGTTTATAACCCGTGAGAATTATAGGTACAAAATTAATTAAAACTTTCATAGTAAAAACTCAAAATTATTAATCAATTATTTAAAATAAATTATTTTAAACAAATTATTAATTAAGATATATTTTTTTAGTTATATAAAATTATAATCGTTGATTTAAAATAAATATGTGACCTTATAATCTGTATTAATTTTATTTTAATTTTAATGTTATTAATTTAATGTAATTAGAGTAGGAAATTTAAAATGGAGAATCAATAGGTTGACAAGTGGTAATGACATTAATTATGAGATCTAATAGGATGACACATGACAAAAGAAGAATAAACATATTCTTTTATTAAAATAAGAAGAGAAGATATTATACAAAATTATAAAAATAGTAAATGGTGGTGGTGTTTGTGGTGGTGGGTGTTAGTGGTGGCAGCAGTAATGGTGGTGGTGGCGGTGGTGGTGGTTGTAAGGGCGGTAGTGGTGGCGGTGGCGGTGGTGATAGTGGTGGTTGTAAGGGCGGTGGCGGTGGAGGTGGTGGGTGGTGGCAATGGATGGTGGTGGTGGTGGTGCCAGTATAAGAAGCGGTTGTGGTGGGTGGTGGTACTGGCCCACACTGTCCTATTCAGTGCCTAACGTGAGATGTAAATTAGGTATATGGGGCCCACTAGGTGACTCCAACCCTAAACTATTTCTACAAGTATACTACCCTGGAACCAACTGATTTTACGTTATGTAGCCATGTAGGATAGGATAACTAGAAATGGGACCCACAATTGTTTAACACATACCAAAATGAGGGCAAAAGTCGCGAAGAAGAACATGATGTATCCAACAATGTTGCGTTTCCTAGTATCAATCTTTGATTCGTTATATGCTAGGAATGCCATTGACCCAAAGGCGAAAGGTTGGTAGACGCAAGTAAGAACCCTAGACGGATGATAATCCTTGGAAAAAAAAAAGAGAAACAAAATTAATAATCTTTCATCAAGCAAACAAGATTTGAAAAAAGGTAAAGATGTAAAAATGTTGACTTTGACTTTCATGGACTTGAAAACTCACTGGAAATACATCGTAATAGTAGTCGTCTATAGAAGTAAGGCTATTCCAACATATGAGAGATCCAATTCCAAGAATCCAACATATTATGTTTGCACCAAATTTTCCCTGTATTTATAAAACGTCACGTTGTTAAATTTAAGATTAAGCACGTGGGGTAAAATAATAGTTGACTGAAATGAGAATATGAGATACCTCAAGCCTGGTTGGAGTTTGACTTGAATCATCAACAGCCATGACTTCCAAGAACTCAGATTTATTTGCAGAATTTGGATGAAATCTTGGTTGATTTTTGGGTTAAACTCCTGTGGTGGGAAATGATATAATGATCGAAGATAAAAGTTCATAATTTAATAATAATGAGCTCCGAATCTTGTAAATCCAGTTACATGAAGATAGAAAAAGTCAGAAAAGTTTAAAACTATAAACTAAAAGCACAAAAAAAACTCCAAATAGTTCGTTTGTAACTCCAAATTTAAGGAAGAATAAGCTAAAATATAGAATGTTGTAAAGTTAAATCATGTTTTGAAAGCCAATTTCTGCAATAATTTAACAAATGAAAAACACTTCCGAAGTATTTGTGAAACATTACCCTGTTTAAAGAATGCATAAAAAACGACCAATTCTTACGTTTTTTATTAAAAAAACAAGAAGGGTATAAATAAAGAAAGCGCTGGAACTTACGGATAACAGACGTTTTCTTATTTCAAGTAAAAATTATTTGATAGATTTTCCAAATGTATTTGACTATTTATAAACAAGAAACCGACCTTTCTCATGTTTGTAAGCAAGCAACTTCTTATTATATTAAATAAGGCAAATTTTATTTTTTGGATTTGTTTTTTTTGGAAAGAATTGGAAGAAATTTTCGCCTTTTGGTGGCGTATGTATTTTGCCTAATGCAGATCATACAGTTATACAAATAGTGTTTGATAAAAGAAATGGCTAATCAATAATCACTAAAAAGTCAAAATGAAAGGAAATGGATGTCCTTTCAATATATAATTGTTTTCTTAAACATATATCAATAAAATATCATCAATTTTATAAAAAATACTTTCCATTTTTATGAATGGTCCCATTCCCACTATAACAAATTTATAAAAAGTTACAAATTTTATTTTCCAAAATAAATAACTATTTTGTGTTAAATATTTAAAATATAATCTGTTTTGGCTAACAAAGATTAGGGGTTGCCTGTATAAATTTATCACTTTGTACTGAATTTGAGAATATTTTTTACATCTGGGGCGAAAGAGTAAAGATATTTAAAACTCAGTGGCCAAACTATAAAAATAAAAAATAAAACAACAATTTAATTCCTCTCTCCCGAGTCATCTTCTCGACCCGATCTTAACCCGAGTTTGACCCGATGACATGAATGCATAATAATCATGCTCGATTTTTAACCATTTTTCTCATAACAATCGACATGCAACAAGTTACTATGAGTTTAATTACTAATTTCTTTGACCAAACCCTCTTATATCGGTTCACATTTATGGCTTTTATGTGTACGGTGGCTGGCCAGTGGCCACCACCGTGACAGTGGTGGTCGTGGTTGACCAGGCTCTGATTCCAAATTAAACTCAATATCTCAACCGATCGAACCGATTTCAAGATCTAATCAAGATTATACTACAAATGCGAAATTGAAACAATGGTTTTACCTTGGATTATATGCTTCAAATCAAATTATCCCAAGTCCGAACTAAATCCCTTTCTTCTGCCTTCAGTGGGGTGGTCAGGAACTCAATTTTGTATGTTTTCTTGAAGGTTTTTCTCGATTGGAGTTTATCTTCTTATGAAATGGTGCTGATTCACATTCACATTAAGGAGTTTTACTATTTTTAAAGTATATATTCATTACATGGAGAATGCACAAACATGTAACTGATGCCACGTAAGATGGGCATCACCAATATTCTTATTATTTATTTGGAAAGTATAATGTTATTAAACTAAAAAATATTTCTGTTTGTTTTTAACTATAAACTAAAAACTAAAAGCACAAAAAAACTCTAAATATTTCCTTTCTACCTCCAAATTTAAGGAAAAATAAGCTAAAATATATAATTAAGGCTGACAATTTTCGACACGACCCGCGACACGACACGAAATAAATGAGTTTGTGTTGAGTTTTTCAACCCTCCAATCCGCTAACCCGCCAACCCGTTTATTAAATGGGTCATATATGAGTTTCTCAAAAAATAAACGGGTTGACCCGCCAACCCGTTTATATTTTTAATAAAAAAAATATTTTATTTTTAAATGTATTTATGTATCAAGTATTAATATTTAATAAGTATTATATAATATATACCATTGATTCATAGACCATTTGACTGTTTTGACATTTTGACTCGTGGATGGCCTAAGGTCGTAAGTCGTAATTTGTAAGGTTATGTCTGTGACCATTTTGCCCATTTGCCCTAAATAATAATCTCAAAATCAAATCGCGTATGAGTGTATCTCCCTCTTCCAGACTTCCAGTCTCTCGGTCTCCCATAGTCTCACTCTCCCCTTTGTTACTCTGTGATCGAAATCAGGTATCGAAATCACAAACGACGTTGACGCCTGAATGCTGAAGCGGTGAAGCCCTGAATGTGAGTCGCCAATACAATCTTCTGGTATGTTTCTTAAGTTGTTCTTTTGTCCTAGTTTTCCAATTACAAGATGCACTTCCTTAGTTCATATATATAAATAAATGGGTCATATATGGGTTTATGTTCCACGAACCCAAATCTGACCCACGAACCCAAATCTGACCCACAAACCCGCAAACCTGTGAACCCGTATAAATAAATGGGTTGACGGGTCATATATGGGTTTATGTTCCAAACCCGCCAACACGTAACCTGCCAACCCGTAACCTGTATATTTAAATGGGTCGTGTTTGGGTTGACATATTTTGACCCGCCAACCCACGACACGCCAACCCGAACACGACACGATTGTCAGGCCTATATATAATGGTGTAAAGTTAAATCATGTTTTGAAAGCCACTTTCTGCAATAATTTAAGAAATGAAGAACACTCCCTAAGTATTTGTGAAACATTACCATGTTTAAAGAATGCAAAAAAAAAAACCCACTTATTCTTACGTCTTTTATAAAAAAAGAAGAATTATATCAGGAAAAGCAAGAGGTGGAACTTACAGATGTAAAGACATCTATGTAAAGTGTTGAAAATCAGATCTAATAGACACGCAAGGAAACCGACACATAATATTGAGAATTATATGTTGTTGCGATAAATATATCCAATTATTATTATTATTAGTTACCAAGTTTCGTCCAGAAAATCAGATTGATCCTTCACGATCATATCTATTTATATGAAAGGAGTAGAAGCAATGTTATTGGACGAAAATAAAGACGAAACAATAATGCAAAACCGACATGTTGACGGTTGATCTTGATCATAGAATAATTGCACGGATCGGACTCCTGTCCTTAAAGGTTTTTATTTTGCTTTTATCGGCTGTAAGCAACAGAGTAAAACCCCAGGATTTAATGCAGATTTACCGAGTTTCCAATAACAATGGAAAACGATAAACACAAAGTGAATACTGAGAAATCGGAAGAATTCGCAGAGAGAGAGAGAGAGATAGAGAGAGAGAGAGAGAGAGACAGACAGACAGAGATAGAGAGAGAGAGAGCTTTGAAATTCGTGTATACAATACGGTTGTATTTATAGGTATCAAAACCCTAGAAGACAATAAAAGGCCCCCACATGGGCCGACCTCCTAGAAACCCTAGGGCGACGACTTGCTCTCCAAGCTAGCCGTTTTCTAAGCCTTCTAGAATATTCTGTTGCCATATCCACGAAGTCAACCGTTTGACCAGATCGGTCAAACCGACTTGACCCGAACTTCGCCAAAAATAAAAGCTCCCCAGCTCCCAACGACCGATGCGTCGTGCGAAGTGCCAAGTACGCCTAAATCGCGTCATTTCGCACACTCGCAACGTCAGCTAGTGTTAGGCTAGGCTAGGCGTGCGTGTGCGGGCTTGGCCCATTCCTTTGATCCACTAAAGCCTTTGAAGGCCTATCAAGGGAAAAGACTTATAAACCTACACAAGGTTTCTTCCCCCACCAATGTGGAATAAAGGAAAATATTTAACTTGCTATTATAACTTCATAATTTCCAACAATCCCCCACCAAGTTGGAAATTTTCCTTTCACTCAGACATATGATGTCACTTGGGTGTCACGAAGATTAAACCATAGTTTAATGAGAACAAACAAGAAGAGACCAATTCAATGGTATCCTTATAGGTTTAAACCATGAACCTTGACACCTCTCCAGATTACCCCCACACATCACATTTCGTCTTTGCGTTCTCCCTGAGCGCTAATATGGACATGCACTATAAATCCTTTTCATGACCCTTTATAAGATAAATCACTAATCTTTAATTGAGGTGACACCACCTCTAGGTCATATATGTAAAGTTTTATAACATCTTAGTTGCTTAGATGTCTCCAAAACTTTGTTAAGAGTAGTAACTCAACCTTGTTCTTGGAAACGACGTACTATCCTACCTCACATGGATCTATCATTAATGATAGTACCTTCTACCGTTAGTGACTTCGTTGTTACCCTTTAAACTTGAGAATGAGGAGCATTAATTCCAAGTTGGGTTTCCATCACTAAGCGATTCTATTGTTGGTTTAGACCCATGACTCTCGTGGTAGATGTAACCAGATCTCTCGTCAGAGGTTTGGTAAATAGATATGCCAAGTTCCTACTTGTCTTGACATAGACAACTTTGATACTACCATTTTCAATTAGTTGTCTCACAAAATTGTGTCGCAGACCTACATGTCTCGACTTTCCATTATATATCGCATTATATACTTTAGACAATGTGGCCTCATTGTCACAGTACATGGGTATTCAAGGCATTGGAATATCCCACAAACGGATATCCATAAGTAGATCTTGAATCCAGTCTACCTCTTTGCCTGCTGCTGCTAAGGCAATTAGTATGCTTCCATCATTGAATGAGCTACATATGTCTGTTTCTTGCTCGCCCACGAAATAGCACCGCTAGCTAGAGTATAAATCCAACCACTTGTGTATTTCGAGGCACATGTGTGATCTATCCAGCTAGCATCAGAATACCCTTAGTATTCCATTTGATGACGAATACGTCAACTCAAAAGTACTTGTCCTTTTCAGGTATCCCAATACTCTACCCACTGCTTCGTCCCTGGATTGATAGTATACTGACTTAATTTGCTTACAACGAATGCAATGTCAAGTCGAGTGCAATGTGTTGCATACATCATGCTCCCAAGTGCACTTGCATATTCCAGATGAGCAACTGCTCGCGCCAAAATTCACATTAAGTTTCATACTTGAATCAAAAGGAGTATTGAATTCCTTAATATTCAAATGTTGAAACTTTGTCAGAATTTTCTCTATATAATGAGATTGACTCAGAGAAATCTGATCGTCTGTCATTTTCACCTTGATACCAAGAATTGTATCAACTTCACTAAGATCTTTCATCTTAAAGTTCGAGGATAGGTATTTATTCGTCTCAAGAATACATTCTATGTGAGTGCCAATGATCAACATATCATCAATATAAAGACATATTATTGCTATGTAATCAGATGTGTATTTGGAATAAATACACCTGTCAGCATTTTTATGTTGAAATCCGAAAGCAGTCACAGTGGTGTCAAATCTCTCATGCCACTGTTTGGGAGCTTGCTTCAACCCATACAAAAATTTAACAAGTCTACAAACTTTGTTTTCCTGTCCAGGTATCACGAAACCTTTAGGTTGCTCTAAGTAAATCTCCTCCTTGAGATAACCATTCAAAAAGGTTGTATTCACATCCATTTGGTGAATGTAAAATCCTTTCAGAGCTGATATTGCTATGAGAGTTCTAATAGAACTGATCCTAGCAACTGGGGCGTAGGTATCAAAATAATCGATCCCTTCTCGCTTCCTATTTCCTTTACCAACTAATTTTGCTTTATAGGCAGATATGGATCCATTTGGATGATATTTTCTCTTGAATATCCATTTGGATCCTATGGGTCTCATCCCCTTGGGTAGATCAACTAACTCCCAAGTTCCATTACCCATAATTGAGTCCGTTTCATCATTGATGGCTTCCTTCTATAAAAGGAGCATCTCTAGACGTCATGGCTTCAATAAAGGTATTAGGATCATCATACAATTTAATGGCGAATATGACCTTTCTTGTCACTTTCTTTTGTGTTCCTTCAACCAAAAAAGAATAAAAATTGTCTCCAAAACTTTTCTCTATTCTATCCCTAATACTTCTCCTTAGTTCCTCAACATTAGGAGGAGGTGAGAGTATTTCTCGAGAAGTACTTGTAGATGTTGTATGACTGGAGTTTTCATCATCCTTAGAAAACTTGTCCTCAAAGAATTCCACATATATGGATTCCACAACAACACCTGATTCAACATCTAATAATCGGTAAGCCTTGATATTGTGAGCATATCGAATAAATATACTCTTATTAGCTCGTGCTCCCAATTTGGTTCGCTTAGGATCGGGTGTCCGATAAAAAGCAACACACCCCCACACTTTCAAATAGTATAGGTTAGGCTTTCTACCTTTCCACAACTCATAAGGGCTTATATGAATCACATGACTAGTGATCCTATTATGAACATAACAAGCAGTCAATAGTGCTCCCCCCAGATTGTTTGGTTGACCCGATTGGTTCAACATACAGTTGACCATCTCACAAAGGGTTCAGTTCTTTCTTTCAGCCAAACCATTCTGTTGGGGAGTATATGGTGAAGTTCACTCATGTTTGATTCCATTCTCTTCACAAAATGTGT